CAACAACAACAACAGCATTCGTCTATACCTTCATATCAATACCGCACTGCTATGCAACAGATTCCGCTACATGTTCCATCTCCACCACCGGCACAATCGCTCCCTGTACAACAGCCTTATCATCGTGCTCCACCAACTTCATCACAAAACAACCATTCTCGGGTGCCTTCTTACAGCAATTCACAACAAAAAGCAATGCATGTACAAAACCCATCTGGGCCTCAGGCCCAAGCCATGCAACATTCAAATATACCTCGTCCACCTTCAGTTGGTTATGACGGTCGAAACATCGCTACTGAGCTTCATCAACAACAACAGCAGCAGCAGCAGCAGCACCAAATCCAATCTCAATCTGGCTATAGCTATACCTTATCGCAGCAACAGCAGCAACAACAGCAACAGGCCCAGCAACGGCAGTGGATGGAAGACAAACAGAGCATGCCTCGACAGCTACCGCTGCAGCAACAACGCCACCACCAGAGATATGAGCTCCAGCAACAGCTTGAGCAGCAACAGCAGCACCAGCACCAGCACCAGCACCAGCACCCGCACCCTAATCAGCCAAATCAGCAACAAAAACACCAACAAGGCCACCAACATGAGCACATGCAGCAGCAGCACATGCAGCAGCAGCACATGCAGCAGCAGCAGCAGCCTGTTCACCAGGCGCGAAGTTCAATCAGTCATCAATACTCGACTGCTCCCCCTTCCAGGACCTACACACCGTCGGGTGGGCTGATGGCGACAGTACCCGCCTATGCAAGTCATCCGCCACCGTCTCCAGCGCCGCCATCACAGCAGCAGCAGCAGCAGCAACTACAACAAAGTCATGTAAGGCATTACAGTCAGAGTGGAGGGGCTGGAATGGATGAGATGAGATGAAGAAGAAGAAGAAGAGAAAGTGGGCATGTATGATCAGTCTCACCGGATGGATTCTAGGACGTCGGGAATACGTAGCCTTTGGAAGGATGGTACGATGATGAAGCAGGGGTCAGTGGGTGAATAACTGGGGCTAGTTAGCTACTCCCACCAGCCGAGACAGGTTCTCGGATGCTGTCCGAATAAGAGTACAAGTTGCTGGATCGATCATGATATATAATCAATGATCACCATTTTCTCTTGCCTAGTCTTCCGTGTGCCACAATGTAACCTTGTGAATCCATGCAACCACGTCCCTAATGATCCCTCAAGTAACAATGGAGACACCGTCGAAAGTCATAACGTTCGATCATCACACAACTTTAGAGGGTACTAGACAGGACATCGTGCACAGAGGAGACACCGAGTCTCAGAACGCTTTCTGTGTCAGATTGGATTGTACATCTCCAACCCGCATACGCGGCCTTCCTTATCCATGGTACTGACGGGGCCTTGTTCCCTATACCAATCACCCCATGCGAAGGTACAGCGATGCAGTGGGGACTTTGTGGAATACTACGAAGCGGTTGCACTCTCATAATTGATACCATAAACACTGCCGTTGTGTACCAAAGTGCTAGAGTACATTTCGGTGTTTCTCGATGCAATCGATAGAGTCCTTTTTTCTACCACACATCTCAGTCCCGTCGTTGCCAATCGCCCTTCCACTTCTGGACCAAGCTCGCGGCTTCGGCTTCATCCTTGATCCTCTGCTCCAGATACCCCTGTAGATCCTTCCAGAATTGCTCCGTCTCCAGGATCTCTTTCCCGGGCGGCGGCGGCGGCGGCGGCGGCGGCGGCGAAGTGACCGTCTCTATGCCTTCCATTCCTTCTGATGGTACATCTGCTGCCTTATCCGTAGTCTGTCCTGCCTCATTCGCTGGTGTCGTGTCGGTCTTTGGAGGGGGGTCCGGAGCCCCGCCTATAACCATCACGCGGGCCTTTAATAATGTCCCTTATAACAAGCTGCTAGATATCCTTAGGCAGAAGGGCCTCCCGGATTAGCTTATCTAAGTAGTCGCATGCTTTCTACGTGTGAGGCGCACACATATTACATATACAGGGTATGAAAGCGACTGGATTAAGACTAACATAGGCATCTTGCAGGGTCGCTTTGCACCGTCTCGCGGAGTTGGGAGATTGTGGTCGTGAAAGGGTCGATGTCAGGTAATGTGAGCGCTAGGGCGGGGTTGCGGGAGGATTTGAGTGTTAGGGATATGGTGGATGTGGTGCGCGTGGCGCCTGGTGGCGGGGGAGCGGATGGAGTCGATTTGGGATATGGTGGGTGGGGAGGTTGAGGGAGTTTGGGGAGAGTGAACTGCGTATGAATGTTCCATATTAGTGTGTGCCATGTCAGGCAGTGTGGAGAATGAGGATAGGTCCAATCGTACAGGTATTCTGGTGGGGAATGTTTTGGCATCGAAGACATGGTTTGGTGGGTATTTGGTGGATTTGGCATCGAGTGTTTGAAGGAAGGTCTTCGCGAAGTTGAGCTCACTCATCGTGGCGGTAATGTGTTTCGATTCGCAGCTGGAAGCAAGAGTTGGGAACAGTGGATAAGGGTATGCCAGGAGGAGTTGCAAAGGTGGATTGCGGTGTATTCAATCGGTGCTGAGAGCTCCCTGCTAGGGCTTGGGGCTGTATCGTGAGTTACAGCTGAGTCTGTGAGATGCTCCTGGTTTAAAGTGCAATTGATGCCAGCTGTGGTCACCTCCTCGCTCAATCTCGTTGCGAGGGCCTCGCAGCGTCTGACGTGACTGGCTTGGATTATGGACCGGAGGACCTCCGGACTATGGCCAAGACCTGGAGCTCTTCAAAGTGGCAGTTATAGCCGCACACATTGTCGCGAAAATTTGCCCTGATGAATTTCTCGAGCCAAAAAAACATTGTCGCAACTAACTAGCATTCAGTTCCAATTGTCCAACCGACAGTCACTCTACCGTTCACCAATCGACCACACCGCCAGTATGGGTCCTGGTCGGCGAATGAAGAAGCAAGGGCCTCCACAGAGTCTTGAGCAATTGAACATTTCCGTAAAGAGGAAAGCAAGTGAACAGAGCAAGCCAGGTGGTGAGTCCAAGGCGAAGAGAAGGAAAGCAGATACAAGCAATGGTGTGCCTACCGTGAAGCCTGGAAACAGTGCGAAACATATAAAGGCTTCGAGGCCATCTAAGCCTACAGCCAAGCCTATGCCATTGCATGAAACCTCCGAAGATGACGATGCCGACGATGCGGACGGAGACGACTCCCTGGTGGAGCACCTGGAAGATCTGGATGATGGGGATATCGCAGACGACAGCGCATCAGAGCAGGAAGGCGAAGATGACGATTTAGAGCCCGCGAACAGCCGTTCTGACGATTCAGTATTTGATTCCGACCTAGAAGAGGCTGATCCGGCACGCTTTTCAGAAGATGAAGATGAGTCAGATGCGGAAGAGAAACTTACGGCTGCGAACATCGAAGGACTGTCACGAAAGCTGGACCAGAAACAAGCGCTGGTAGACGCACAGGCGCAAGAAGAGCTGGAGGATGCGGCCATGCAGACAAATATTGTCGCGGGAGCGGACGGAGATGGTGATCAAGCTACGATGCAAGGTCTTGCACCAGATCTGCAACTCCTAAGGACGAGAATTACAGACACGCTGCGAGTACTGGGAGACTTTGCTAAGCTGGCAGATAAAAGCAAGTCCCGAGCCGAATACACCTCACTCCTTCTTTCCGACATCTGCACCTACTACGGATACACGCCCTACCTTGCAGAAAAGCTTCTCTCTCTGTTCAATCCTCTTGAAGCATTTGCATTTTTCGAAGCCAATGAGTCGCCTCGTCCAGTCGTCCTCCGTACCAATACCCTTCGCACCAACCGTCGCACATTAGCTCAAGCTCTCATCAATCGAGGAGTGGTGCTCGAACCAGTAGGGAAATGGTCGAAAGTGGGTTTGCAGGTATTCGAATCCGCAGTACCTCTAGGAGCTACGCCTGAATACCTTGCCGGTCACTATATCATTCAAGCAGCGTCATCATTTCTTCCCGTCATGGCTCTGGCACCACAGCCAAATGAGCGTATTCTAGATATGGCAGCTGCGCCTGGAGGCAAGACCACCCACATTTCAGCTTTAATGCGAAACACAGGCACAATCTTTGCAAATGATTCGAACCGACAACGAGCCAAAGGCTTGATCGGAAATATCCACCGATTGGGGTGCAAGAACACCATTGTGAGCAACCTCGACGCGAAGGAAGCGTTTCCCAAGATTTTGGGGGGTTTCGATCGAGTGCTGCTTGACGCTCCATGTTCAGGCACGGGTGTCATTGGCAAAGATGCTAGCGTAAAGACTTCGAAGACAGAACGGGACTTTCTTGCTTTACCACACATGCAGAAGCAATTGTTGTTGGCTGCTATTGATTCGACAGATCACGCAAGCAAAACTGGTGGATACATCGTGTATGCGACATGCAGTGTGACGGTAGAAGAAAATGAAGGAGTGGTGCAATACGCGTTGAGAAAGAGGCCCAATGTGAGGATCGTTGATACAGGGTTGGGTACCTTTGGATCTGAGGGCTTCAGGAAGTACATGAACAAGCGATTCGATGATCGCATGAACATGGCGAGAAGATATTTTCCGCATCGGGAGAACGTGGATGGATTTTTTGTCTGCAAACTGAAAAAGATAGGTCCGGGTCCTTCTGGCGCTCAGACGGTTAATGGCGTGGCTGATGCGTCACGATCGACACCCAATTCTGACAGATTGTCAAACGGCACCAAGGAGACTTCTCCGGTGACGCCGATTGATGATGAGTTTGGGGGATTCGATAGCGAAGAGGACAAGAAATATATCGCCCATGCGGAAAGGAAAAGGCTGAAGAAAAAAGGCGTGAATCCGAAGGTGGCGCCTGATCATCGCTCTGCAATGGGTAAAGGTAGAACTAGATCGGGATAGGAGAAGTCTTGATGATTGTTTGTGTACTTCCATATCTCATTCTCCAGAATCCTGCAGCTGTGATACTATAGTAGGATGAGCGTCAAATGGAACTATTGTCTACGAGTACGGCAACAGGATCCTCAACGCGCAAGATTGCTCATTGTCTCAAATTTCAGACTCTTCTTTAGCTCCGACCTGATGGGCAGTCTGATCGCATTCACCAAAAAGGGTCTTCGCAGCAGAGTCTGAACGCGGAACGTCAAATATAGGCATGAAAAGCATTCGCTGATTCTCAGTATACTACGTAGTAAAATGTTGAATTGCACCACAAATTGCTCAGGAACCGGAGGGGCTGATCTTGGCGCCTAGCACGTGCGTGTATGAGCAGCCGAGGTTCCCCACGTCGCGCTCCAGCATTATGGAGCGTGCTGTACTTGTGCCAGACCCATCTTCATATGACCACAATCAACAACGATGATGATTCTTCCACCGCCCTCGGCTGTTCCTCGTCCTCGTACCTTCTCCCAACCCCTCAGTCGTTATCAGTCGTGCCCCTTCCCCTTCCAATTAGAACCGTACCTCGAATAGACGCTTTCGCTCCCTTCCTGCGCCACGACGACCTGCAATCGAAAATCACATAGCTCGCTCTCAGTCAGATAAGGCAGTTATTTCCCGGCATCATGTCACGAACTCCCAGCGATGCCCAACCGAAGGCTGAAGAGCCGGTGCCAGCAACCTCAGCAACCTCAGCAGCGCAGCAGAGCGACAATATTGCGCATGCGCTGGCTGGTGCTGGCGGTGGCTTACTGGCCATGACCTTGACGTAAGGCTCTTCAATGATGCGGATGTTTTGGTGTTGACGGTGAACCTAAAGCTACCCTCTCATCACCATCTCTACAAGAGCGCAGGTCGAATCGAAACGAGCACACTCTACCACTCTTGATGCAGTTCGTTCTATTATTCGCCGAGAAGGCATCCAGGGACTTTACGCAGGGTTGGACTCAGCACTATTCGGAATCAGCGTCACAAACTTCGTCTACTACTACTGGTACGAATGGACGAGGGCAGGGTTTGAAAAGGCCGCCATCACAGCTGGTCGGGCGTCGAAAAATCTTACCACAGTGGAGAGTATGATCGCAGGCGCTCTTGCAGGAAGTGCAACGGTTCTGATCACCAATCCCATCTGGGTGGTCAACACGAGGATGACCGCTAGAAAAAACCAATCAGATGAGCAGGCATTGCCAGGCGGTGAAAGCAAGCCTAAAAGATCGCCAACCACCCTGGGCACGCTGCTCAGTCTGATCAGAGACGAAGGCCCAAAGGCGCTGTTCGCGGGAGTTTTGCCAGCTTTGATACTGGTCATCAATCCTATATTACAATACACCATTTTCGAGCAGCTGAAGAATTTGCTTGAGAAACGAAGAAAGGTCACTGCGAAAGATGCCTTTGTGTTGGGTGCCATTGGAAAACTAATGGCAACGAGCATTACATATCCCTATATCACCGTGAAGAGCCGCGCCCACGTGGCGACGAAGGATGCCCCACGAGAGGGCATGATTCAGAGCCTGAGGAAGATTGTCAAGAACGAGGGCTGGATGGGTCTCTACGCTGGTGTGTATCCCTTTCCAGCCAGACGAGTTCCAGACTAACCCGCATACACAGGTGTTGGACCGAAAGTTAGCCAGAGCGTTCTGACAGCTGCCTTCCTCTTTGCCTTTAAGGATGTGCTATATGATATGACAGTTGCGGCGAGAAGGAGAACTAGGGCTATCAAGATATGAGCATGGCGACATCTGGTGTGAGTACGGGGTTTGTAGACGTTGAGGAATGGTATGGTGCAATGTATGTTGTGAGAACTTGAACAACCAATCCGAAATGATTGAAGTGACAAGAACCACTTCCTTGTTGTAGCTGACTGCATTCTCCATCAGAAATAGCAACCTGCCTCCGCTGAAGGACATGAATGGCCAAATTAGGCATGCAGGATCGTTTGGTGGGCGAACAGTGGTCCCTAAAGGTAGCGGATGGAAATGGGATCCCTTGTCACGTGAACACGTGTCTCCTTACATAATCAAGTTGCTACCTTTATTTCTTTTCGTTTAAGTTTTACCGTTGACCAAAGCTGTCGCAAACTTGGGATGGCTGCACGGTTGCGAAGACCGATCATCTCCAACCTAGAAGCTTTCTTTGGCTAGCATTCATTGATTTGACGAGTCACCACCCGCGCAGTTGGTTGGTTGTTCTGGATGTCGATCTGTATGCACAGCTAGTGAGAGCTTCCAATAAGGCTGATCACTACTTCAGCTTTCTACCCACGTGTCTGCGAGCAATCTAGTCAGCCTACCAAGCTGAAAAAGCCCAGTGAAACCAACTAAGGCAATGGCTTTGGAGTATCAAGGCACAATCTGCAAGAGCATGCGTTCAAACTAAATCCTAGACCTGTTTCAGCGAAGCCCGAGCAATCATTTTTTGCCGCCCCTTTTCGCTTCCCAAGGCTGCACGATTGGTGTTTTGGTGGGCATACTTGACGTCTTCTGAAGGCAGAAGCTGAGGCAGACCTACACGATACAAACATATTGCTCTCGAAACCACTACTTCCAACGAGGTCTTGTAGGCTGGTACAACAAATGCTTGAGATATTTTTCTTTCTCGCAATATCACGACAACAGTTATAATACCGAGTGAGGTGAACTCTGATAGACCAAAGGCAGTTGGCATGCACAAGCAAGGCAGAAAAAGAAAGTCGCGTTCTGCCAAAGCCAAGGCTTATCGTATGATCGTGCAACGACCTCTAGCTCCCCTCGAGAGGTTGCCGTGCGAGATTTTAGGTCGCATTTTCAACTGGAGCTGCAATATCAACCTACCTAAGGCCTCGTGGCATTTGATGAAAAGGCTTGAAGATCATCCAATATACATGTTGATGCTGGCTTTCAGCTCGGAAGCAATTTATGTCGCGGAGGAGAAGAGATCAAGCCATTTCTATGCGCGAAACATCGTACTGGCCGGGCTACCTACCTTGTCCACCGAAGAGCGTATCCGCCTCCAGGCTGAAGTATTTGCCAAGAAGTGGCTACAACCCCAGCTCGTCAGACGGGTTCAATCTCATTTCGTGCAGGAAGTCATTCGAGCTCGCTGGGCTGCGTTGTGTCTGGAAAAGAGTTATGGGACTTTCAAAATTCGACCTAGTCAGCGGGCGCTATGGTGCGAGACGAGGACGGAAGAGGCGCAAGTTTGTTTCGAAGTAGCTGCAGCACATTTTGGGGTCCTCGAAGATCAGGGGATTGTTCAATTTATACCCGACTGTGGAAAAGAAGTGGAAGAGTTCTATTCATTTCCAGCCTGCGATGAACAATCTGGCACGGATGAGGACGAGAATCTTGGTGCTCCATTCCCCGATCATTGGTATGCTGGTCCCTGGACAAGGAAAGAGAGGGCACTTATTGTCCAATTCGCAGAAAACCGCTACAAAGGGCATCTTGCGCCCAGCCCGACCAATTCTGGGAACTTTGCCTCCTGGATGCTCCATGTAGCCATGCTGGAGCAGAGAATAGGTGTGCTTCTCAAATACCTTGTCCGTTCACCTGGAAACCCTGAGAACGACTCTGTCCTTTACACATCCGCAATCAACCAAAGCCATTTCGTGAGGCTTTTATACAAACCGGGTGACGCGGAGTGCAAAGATATTCAAATGGCAGTGCTGCTGTTGGAAGGGTCCGACCAAGAGCCGGTTGACCAATCGCTCTCGTTTCTGAAACTACGTCTAAGGCAATGGCTTCATGCTCGCAGCCCCTTCTGGCGTGATTGGTGCAGGTCTTCTTCTGTGGATAGTAGCGGAAGCGTGCAAAACGAAGCATGAGGAGTACTGAGTATGCCCTGTTGGCGCAATCAGCGGGCTCATCCTTGTCATCTCTCTTGTGAATAAGGTAGGCATCGCTCATACTACCGACATCGGCTTGCAACCTTCTGTTCTAGAGAAGAGGAGGATTGCAGGATATGTGTTAGAGGAAATAGCTTATCGCGGTATAACAAAGCAACCATGGTGGTTGTCTCCAGCTCAGCACATACATGTAGGACGAAATGCGGGCGGAAACTCAATCAAAACTGACCGACCTCGATTGCCTCTTCTGGTTGGCCCCATGCCGCTTTATGTAAGCCAAATCAGGGCTCCGGCCCGGCTCCACTTCGGCTCAGCCCAGGGCTCAGGCAGCTACCAGATGAGCTCAGTCACCACCCCCCATCCTCTACCTCCTCCCGCCCATACTCCCCTGATCCCCCTGCACAACCGATATGGCCCCAGAAAATGTCCCCTTCAGGTTATGGTCAACTTTACGCGGACAGCATCGTCGGATGGGAGGATGCGGCTGACGGGGGATTACAGAGGTGGCCCAGGCCTGGGATCCCTGTGATGACCCAAAAAAGCTCTTCTTGCCTCGAGGCCCACATGAGATCGTTTTCCATCCCATTTCCCAATTGCTGTCCTTCATATATTCTTTCATGGGGAACTAGTCCATTCGGAACAAATGTGCAGCACAGAGCAAGCGATCAGGACTGTACATAATGATCATTCTTCTTCCTTGTCACTATCCATGGCACATTATCGAATGTCACGACTCGCAATCGAAAATATCGGTTAACATCAATCTTGTTGACTTCTCACATGAACACGTCCAAGCCAGGTGTATCGACACTGTTAGGGTGGGTGTTGAAGTTGGTGGGGCCTAATGCATCCTGGTAGCAGGCGATCCTTGACGTCGTGCGCTGACATCAACCTCCGAATGTAGCTTGTCGATTTTACTACCTCACCGCATGATGGGGCTTCTGCAAGACGGCTTCGGAAAAGATGGTACCCCAACTTGTTTCGAGGCTCCCAGGCGGTGCTGAGTGAAATCGCACTGGTACCTCTATTCCCCCGCGGACGGTTAACGCATCAGGCTGGTCCTTGTGGTGCATGAGGTTCAAATCTGATCCTTGTGTGAGATGAGTTGATCATGGGGTGTCCGAATGATGTCACCTTCTAGTTAGTAAGAATTGCCCATTCTCAGGGCCATCTGCGTAGCCGCAGTACACTTCCCTTACCGACCATGAAAAGCTGATGTCGAGAGGGGGTTTGCTTTGGCGACGTGCGTGATATCTTCTTCGGAGCGACACCCATATTCCGGGCACTTTGCCCTCCGCACTACGCGCAGTTCACTATTTAGTATCCTCGGGCTGGGAATAATGCCATGTAGAATTTGTTCGATGACTGCTTTGATCATGGTAGTTGCAAGACCTAGGTGATATTCGCTATCTCCGTCTAATCTAGGTTCATGGACGCATGTATGTGAACCAGAGTGCCTGTACAACGCCATCTGCGCCGATCAACACACCCGATGAACACTGAGAATATAAAGTCAGTGTCGACAGTAACAGCATCCAGATTGATGGCTCGACAGCCAGGTGCCACAGTTGCAGGTATTTTGACCTTGGCGACATCGGTCACGGTTATCTCCGCTACAACCACGGTCTCTTTTGATTGAAGCCAACAAAGTTTGTTTCCACTCCCTGCTTGATGGTCTTGTCCCGAAGCCTTACAGTCTACACCGGTGCATGGACTAAAGCGGGATCGTATTGAACGACAGCATAATTCATGAGAGGGTGGAGAGAGATAACCCTGCCTTCCACTTCAATCGAGTCGTCCAGTCACCATGATGTCCTAAAGACCACAAAGCACGATTGCTCGTGAAACGATGACAAGTCCTTGTGCTGCGTCGACAACCAGCCCGAACCCCGTCCGACGGGCTTGGGGAAAGCCATCAATTTCGTCGGGCATATGCGCAGTAAAGCGGAACAAATGATCAAATAATATCAGCGGCTGGTGATTGACTTGGCTTTCTTTCCCTTCCCTTTATTCGCGTCTATTGGTAGTTTTAGATCTTCCTGTATGTGGGATAATTTCTCTAAAATGGCATCAACGGCGGCTGTAGACCCTGGTAGTAGTGGAGGCAATCGGTCCGGATGCATCCAAAGAGGCTCTCCGGCATCTCTACGTCGCTCCGCCTCTTCCGCAACTTTTTCTAGGCTCGTGTTCCCAGCGCCTATTTCACGAAAGTACTGATTTTTTACCTAGACCGGGTTAGCAGCGGAGCGAGAGAAAATTCCAAAGACATACCATCGTCATTGTCTTCGTCTGCAGGTGGGTTGCGATTGCAGAGAAGTCTCTGCCGTAGTAGCCAACAAACGCCGGGAAATGTTGCTGCTCGAGTGTGGACCAATAACTGGTGGTGATTCCCCGGGAGGAATCTTTTGGTGCGGCACGCGGTGGTGCGGAACCCATATCCTGCGCAACAGGAGCTTCGCGCAGTCGGAGTTGACGCTCGTGGGCCTTCTTTGCATCGACCTTGTTGTTAGGAACGCAGTCTGAACAATAGTGGACCTCAGGCACGCTTGTTGGTAGATAGTAGCATTGGATATGCTGCCACGTGTCGCATTCTTCACAATAAACCGTGTGGCCATCGTCACTTGTGAAGCCGCATATGCATTTGATCGTATATTCCTCTTCTAACTGTAAGTTTAAACCCAGGGGACAGGCCTGGTCTTCAACATTCTTTTTCCCATTCTCCTTGTTATCCTTGGAGAACGAAGATGACGAATGTGTACTTGGTGTAGTACGTGCTATATCAGGGGTGATCTCTCGGCCACTGGACTCGTTCTCGGAGTCGTCTTCATTCTCGTCATCAGAGTCATCAAGATCCGGCAAAGGATAGAGGCTAACTTCTTCAAGCTCTCTGCCCAGATGAGTAGAGTAATCCCGGAGACTCGCAAATCCCCGCCTACCGCACAAAGCGCATTGAATACTCGAAGGTTTCTCGGGATAAGACACGATAGCATTTGCAAGAGCAGACGATCGAAGCTGTGGGTTGCGTAAGATCATGTTATGTTGTCGCTCGCAGTGGTCGAGGAAATCGTTTTCCTTCTCATAACTGGTGTCACATTGTGGACAGCATATTGTGTGACGGGATAAATGGCAAGTTGTTTGATGTTCAAACCAAGCCTTTCTACTCGGAAATGTTGTAAGGATGTCGGGACAGTCGTTATGAACACAAATATATGATTGCAGATCCGCGAACACATGCATTTTCCAGTCAACTCGGGATCTGATCGATGATAGCCACTTCTTGCAGAAGGGGCATTTAAAGGATTCGCCGAAGCTTATGCCTTTAGGTATCTTCGGGACACGGAGCCGTCCCCGTTCTGCGCCATCCTTGCTAGAGGCGAACGAGGAGTGAGACGCCGCAGATTGAGAACGTGGAGCAATCGAACTGCCCAAAGCAGAGTCCCTAAACAACGATACGGGTTGAAATTGACTTTTCGGCGGAAGATCTTGTGCAAGCAATTGTTCAGCGTTGTCTGGAGCAGTCTTCTCCAGGTTTCTTAATCGCTCATGTCTTTCCCAGTTTGCTTCTCCTAGTCGTTGTGCAAGAGATGGATCCGCCCATGGAAATTTTGCTTGGACAGCGGATGCATACGAGTCAGACGCTTTCGTGACTTGCAGGACTGGCACATCTCGAAAGCCTGAATGCTGTGTCGTGTATTTGTTTTCGTAGTCTAGATTCCGGTGCGCTGCCTCTTCCGGTTTAGCCCCGCCCGATCAGGGAACGCGCCCTCTCGCCGCTTGGCCTGAGCAGCCGTGGCCCAATGGGTGGATCCCTATGGGACCGAAGCTCCGTGCCAAATTTCTGTGCAGTTAAGGATCCTGCATTTCTACCCATCAAAACTTCAACTACTAATAACTCCACCACCACAGGTCAGAATCAACTCCAAAATGGCTACAGAGCTCCCCCGTCGCCGGCGCGCTGCTGCAGACAGCGTTTGCTCGAATCCTCCCTCTCCCCAGGCCCCCAGGGCCCCTCAAACTATTCTCGATACTCCGCGGCGTACGAAGCTCCTTGCTGACGCACGTGCGTACGCAGGCAAAATGCCTCGGAAAGAGCTATTCAAGATACACAATATAGCTGAGAGAACAGGCTACAAGATCCTAAAGCAAGGAACTATACGCCGTGGCCCTGGCGTTCATAATAGGGGTCGAAAGCGAATTTTAGAGGATCATCAATGCGCAGCAATCGAAGCTGTTGAAGATGCGAATTTCTCCTTTGCTGCTTCAAGTCATTATAGAATAGCAAAGGATATTGGTCTAGCAAATGGATCTGAGCGTGCTATTCAAAGAAATATGGCTGATTCTGGTGTGGGAACCTATCGCGCATTGCAGAAGAAATGGCTGCCAGCACACTTAGTTGAAGCACGCAATCTTTGGGCATTTGAGTACTGCTATTATAACTAAGAAGACTTTAAAAAGCATCGTTGGTGTGATGAGTCGCATTTTGCCACTGGCCTTCAACGGCAGGCCCTTGTTTATTGTCGCTGTGGCCAGAAGAATTAAGAAAAGCTCTCAAAAACCTAATATAAACTTAAACGTAAAAACTAGACTATCTATGTCTATACAACTATTAGTTAGAACTTTAAGGGCACTCTCTACTTCTATACAGGCACAGGGAAAGGCGGGCGGCTTATCCAAGCTGATTATATCAAGATTTTAGAGGAAGTTATTACTCCAGAATGGGATGAAAATCTTATTCTGATCAAAGATAATAATGGACCACATGGCACAAAGGGTGTTGCTAATAATAAAGTTAAGTAAGCAAAGATCAAGCTTAACATCAAATGGCAAGCTCAGCCTTCCAATTCGCCAGATCTCAACCCTATTGAGACCATCTGGCGCATTATTAAGCAGCGTTTGAAGAATCGGGGGGTGATCTTTCAAACTGAGGCGCTGAAGGTGGCTATCCAGGAGGAATGGGATAAAATCACCCTGGAGGAGATCAATAATGCTATCTCTACCATGCCAGATAGAGTAACTTGTTTGCAAGAGCGTTTTGGGAAGGCTATACCCTATTAGAGGGAGTAGGGTAGAAATGCAGAATCCTTAACTGCACAGAATTTTGGCACGGAGCTTCAGACCCACTTACAGGGGGGTACCCTCCTGTAATCCCGCGCGCAGCGGCCACCGTAACGCCCATACCACCGTAACGCCCATCTTGATTTGAACAATTGACTTTGAATGAGTATAGACAGTGTAGAATTCGCCTAATTAGGAATCTAAACCTCCTCCACGCCTGCGTAGCCATTTTCGAAGCTCCACACCAAATTTGAGTATTTGCGACGCTCATCTTCCAACTCTTTACGTAAATCTTCTTCCCATTATCCCTTGTGTCACTGAATGCGACCCCTTCCTTGTTGGGTTTGGTGTTCCCGCGATTTAGCGTAATAATTTTGCTGCAGACTTGGCAAAAGGAACACCAAAATTTAACCTCATCTCATAAGTTATTTATAGTTTAAATTCTCTGCATCAGGCTAATTAATCAAGCTATTAAAATAAAACTAATACCAGTTAATAGCTCTTAGAAAGCTCTATCTAATGCTTTTTTGAAATCTAAATTTTAATTAATATTCAACAGAAAAATAAAGAAAAGCCTTATTTTTAAATAGAATCTCTGTCACGTGTCACGTTGGAAGCAGGCGA